GAGAATCATGAGAGTAATGACTTACTTCACCTAATATCACATTAGACTCATTGCTCTCTAAACTTCTTTTATTAGACAAAGTATCATTGGACTCATTGCTATCTATACTTTTTTTCCTTGAAGAAGTATTTTTTAAGATTTTTTTTGGTTTTGGAAGATTTTCCGGCAATGACAAATCACTAGTACTCTGTATAAATTGAATGTTTACAAATAAGCAAACTTATGTAAATTTATTAAATAAATTTTTCAGATATATGTCAGATTTTTACCAGTTTAGGTAAAAAAGAAGTGGTAATCTCATCCCTAATATTCTTATGTATTATATTAATATTATCCTGAAAACAAAAAAAACATAAAAATTTGAAGGTAAAGGAATACGTGAAAGAATTTTAATACTGACAATGAGAAAATATGTTATATCTTTTTGATGGTAACAAATACGTAGTTAAAACAACATTTTTGATATGAAATATAAAATGTTACAACGTATACAGTGATGAAAATTTCGTATTTGTATTAAAAACGTCCACTCAAGTTTTTGTTAAAATTTTATGTTGAATTTTTTAAATATTCAAGTATAATCTAACATAATGTGATTGTTATTTTGTTAAATTGATGTTCAACATTTCTTAGTGTTAAACTATGACAATTTATGAGTAAGTGAAGAAATAACATAAAAATAATATGTTAAAAAACATAAATTCTAAGATAAATAAATAAATATGTGTTAATTTAACATATTGTAAATATTAATTACCTCATTTGAATCACTTTTGACTGCTTCGATGAATTGTTTCACATTCTTGATAAATTTTATTCTATGACCAACAACTGGAATAAGAGATTGTAATGTATCTTTCCATTCAGGTTCGAACAGAGTCCGAAGATCGTTAGTCTCTATACAATTACCTAGAATATTAGACAATTTTTTCAAGCTTATGTATATGAGGACACTTTCTTAATAAATTATTATATCATTATTAAAAAATAACGTCTTAGAAACGTTAACTCTAAAATTCATTGCATGGATCTTTCAATGCAATTTGGTAACGCTGCAATTTTTATGACGGTAATGATAACCTAAATGCTAGGATTGGAAAAGTCACTTCAAAAAGGTATTCATCATCATTACATTATCCATTAAAACAAGTAATTCATTGCTTGTAACGTGTTACAATAAATAACACGTAATGCTAACGAGTTACTTTTCCAAAGTGATTTTCCTAACCTTAGCGTTTAGTTAATTATCGTTACCGTTATAAAGAAATTGAAACATCGTTACCAAACAAATCGTCAAAAGTAACGGTAAAAACAACGGTGTAACATATATACTTTCCATCCATGTAAAAATGTGCACGAAAGCTAATATCGTCTGACCTTCATTAAAAACGCTTGAAGGTGCCTTCGTGATGTACAAAGACCGCATTCGGATGTACACTGCCAGTACCGAAAACTTATAGTTTACGTTACACATACTACAATACTGGCAGGGTATATCAGAACGCGGTCAAAACAGGCTGTTAGTTAACAATAGTTTGTCTTTTACTTACTCTTAAACGCCGAGATATATTGCTCGAGATCCCATATTCTCAACAAATCTTCTAAAGACGTAAAATTTTCACTTGCACATTCCATATTCTTAACAAATCTTCTATAAAGTCTTATATAATGTTTTCACTTTAACTCTCGCTTCACACACTTTTCTATGTATCAAGCCGCTGTTTTCTTGTTTCAGCATAGACTGAGCATTGCGCCGCGCGGCGCGCGCCATGCCGGTACAAACTTGCAAAGACAGTTGAACGTTACAAAATATTTGATACACAGCTAGTAAGATTAAGCGGATTACGAAAACAGCGTAAGATCTATATATTTATTTGATTCCCGTCGCTAAACTTTTCTGTCTACCACAGTTATTTTTATAAGAGATGTGACAGGCTTATATCTAACTAGACGTCACAGAAAGACTTTTTTGCTGAACTTAACAAATGATCTAGATATAAATTCTATCTCTGTCATCTACATCGATTAGATATAGGACATATACGATATCGTAGTGCTCGCTAGTCATTTACCTATTTCAACTAATTTTTCGTAGCTAGAAAATTTTTACTACAATTGCAAAATCACCTTTTTCAGTGTGATATTACGAGGCATCGTTCACATTTTCATTACCGACAGCTAGACGTACTGATTGTCTTTTGTCTGATTCGCGTTATAGGTGCATGAGGATGTAAAAAAACGCGGAATGTAACGCGAATCAAACAAAAGAAATTCAGTACGCCTAGTTGGTGGTAGCGGAAACGCATGAGTGAAAGATGCCTCGTTATACTAACGAAGAGTTAGCGACTATGTTGCTCATTTATGGCGAATGCCATAAAAATAAAAGGATGGCCGCAGTTGTTTACGCTATTTGTTTCCCTGATAAGCAGCACCCATCACATACGTTATTTGGTATATTGTTTCATCGAATTTGCCAATATGGCCCTCTTCACGCGTCAACACGTCCACGAAACATACGCCGACACGGTAAAGAAATAATCGCTGAAGTGAGAGATGCTGTTGTAGCAAATCCGCATACTAGCACCAGATGTATTGTGTGTGATCTTAATATAAATCACATCAAGGTGCACAGAATAATCAAGAATAGTCTTAGATGGCATCCTTTCAAAAAGCATACAACGCAAAAGTTATTCCCCCAAGATTTACCACGCCGAGAAAGATTTTGTGATTGGATCTCAGACTAAGTAAATTCAATACTTAATAATTTATTAGCCATTTTGCTTTTAAAAGCTTACAATATATGGAATCTTGATAAATAAAGTTTCAGTTGTTCCTTGCTGGTTTGTTTCTGATTTGTTTCACATCGTGCGAATCATTGTATTTTATAAAGCCTGTGCGACGAAATGTTTACCTTTCTACTTAAGTAATAAGTAGAAAGACGATGATAATTTCGTATAATTTGAAAAAATGGAAAATATGAAAAAATACAACTATATTATTAACTATTAAGTTGGTGCAAAAAAAATGTCAGTTTTTGGTATATATAAAATGGTTGGTTTTCCTTTTCCAATATATTCTATTATAGTTTTAATAAGCGCGATTATAGGTTTGATAGAGCGAAGTTTCAGCTTTAAGAATCTATATTTTTTTATTGCAATATAATGATTTTTAACGGAGTTGTGAGCAATCAAAGTCCGAATGCTACTTATCAGGAACAAAAAATCGTAGGAACATTATTAAAAAACAGTTTTGTAGGGAAAACTTCAATCTTTTACGATAGATAGTCAAAAATTTTCCCGATTTTTTGGGAGGCATGTAAAAGACCTATAAAATGAAAAAAATGTTTTCATTTTTTTCAGCTGGTAGTTTTCTATATGTAAAAATTATCAAACTCACATAAACTCAAAAAATATACTCTGCCTGCACGATACGTGACAAACACGTCTCTAGGACGTGCCAACTCGTCACACGTTACGTCGCAGCGACTTCTTGAAACGTAATAGACACGTCGCTAACACGTGACTAACAGTCAAATTCTCGGTAATAGCAACGTCGCAGTGACGAATATTTGTGACTTTATGTAACGTGTTGAGCACCTATTTGCGACCTAAGACCCGGTTTCATTATTTGGTTAAGTTAACTTATGGTTAGGCTTAACCTGATGTTTTATCCATGATAAGCTTTATCTATATGATCATGTCATATACGAAGTCCTTTGGGTAAAACATCAGGTTAAGCTTAACCACAAGTTAATCAAATAATGAAAAACCGGATCTAAAATGTGGTCGAGCATTTGAAAAATGAAGACAATTTTTTATTGTGCCATGTAAATATAAAATACTTAACAGATGAAATGTATATAATTATACTCATCAGTTTCAGCAAGTATATATGTTTTATTTTATGTATGTAAAATAAAAAATATACAATACATGTATATATTTTTTTATTCTATATAGTCATTCCATCCTTGTCTTACGTTTAGTAAACGATAAAGATAGAATGACACTAATAGCGTTAATGTCATCTCTCTCTCTTTCTCTCTCTCGATTTCTGTCGCTCTTCCCCGAACACATGCATATAATAGATAATATGTATAATGTACTTATAAATACAAGTAGTAATATAAATCTCTATTTTTTAAAATATATATCTATATAAGAGTATAAGTATAAAAGTTGTCAATAGAGATAACTTTCTTTCAAAAATAAACTATTTTTCGTACACATTTCGTAACTAACACAAATATGAAGCAGTAACATATATCTCTATCTTTAAACATGTAAACTTGAAAAAGTATAAAATAAATAAATAAAACTATCTTTTTCCCAAAAATAATACTTGCAGGTAATCACAGTAACGTGGAAAAATTATAACTTTTATATTTTAATTTGATTCGTCATATTCTGAATCGCTTGAACTTAATTTTGTTTCTTGTCGACATTTTTCTTCTTTCCTGAAATAAACGAATATCAATAAGGATATGGTTATTTAGGCTGTGTTTCAAAATTTACTGCTAGTACTGAAATCCAGTGCACATAACGTAAATTAGATTTTCAGAACTGAGAGTGAATTTTGGAATAGTCTTAAAGTATCAAAAGAAGTATGTGAAGTATAGCTTACAGAAGATACCCGGAAATATGTATAACATTAACTAAATTAGGAATGAAAGCAATTGGTATTCATGTTAAACATATTGTAATTAGATATTAATTAGTATATGAGTGAAGAAAGTACGATACTCTTAATATTCTTGAGACTTTCACGGGCTTACCTATGTGACAATCTTGCGTTTCGCGGGTTTTCTCCGTGTTTAGATCCATTCTTGGAATGCCAACGTTTCGTGAACCTTGCAGTTCACTTCATCAGGGCGAGGAACAGCCTGATACTAAGCTGTTCCCCCGGGTCGTTCCTTTTATATTACGCTGCTTGTGTGTGGGGGGGGGAGGGAGGGAGAAGAAAATTGTGAGTCAAGGGAGGGAGAGGAATTCGGCCGGTTTTCAATAGCCGGGAGGATGGTGTATCTTCCATATTTTATTTATATTGTAGTCATTATCTCTATTTAGATTGTTGGGGTGTTTTTGTATTTCTATGGCTTCTCTATACTTTCTTGGAAAGTATGATGCAATGTTGGCTATTGTGGTCGTTTTATCGAACTGTATTTGATGTCCTGTTTCGATATTGTGTTCTGATAGTGCCGACTGCGTGGCGTGTTTTAGCCTGACATCGCGTTGGTGTTCTTTTATCCGTAGGTTGACCATTCTCCCGGTTTCTCCGATGTATACTTGCCCGCAGGAGCAAGGTATTTTGTATACTCCTGCGGAGCTGAGTGGAGGTCTTTGATCTTTGGGATTTTTTAAGATTTGTCCTATCTTTTTGGGTGGTTTGAAGATAGTTCGGATGTTGTGTTTGTTCAATATCCTGCCGATTCGGTCTGTTGTTCCTTTGACAAATGGAAGGAAGGCTAGTATCCTTTCGTCTGGTTGTGTGTCAGGGACCGTTGTCTTGTTTGCATGTTTATTGATTACTTTGGTTATGTCTTTTTTGTCGTGTCCGTTTTTTTGTAAGGTTAGTTTCAGGTGGTTGAGTTCTGTCTGTAGATGTTCTTTGTCAGAGATAGTGAAGGCTCTATGTACTAGTGAGTTGATTGCTGACTGTTTTTGTGCTGGATGGTGGTGCGATTCAGCATGTAGGTACCTGTCTGTGTGTGTTGGTTTTCTGTACACTTGATGGCCTAAGGTACCGTCAGCTTTTTTGGAGACAAGAACATCTAGGAAGGGGAGTTTCCCGTTTTCCTCTATATCCATGGTGAAGTGGATATTTGGATGTTGTTTGTTGAGGAAAATAAGGAATTTACGGAGTTCTGCTCTGCCGTGTCTCCATATCACGAATGTATCGTCTACATAGCGGAACCAAACTTCTGGCTTTTTCGGTGTTTTTCCGAGGGCCTCTTTCTCGAAGTGTTCCATGAAGATGTTGGCGATTACAGGAGAGATGGGAGAGCCCATTGCCGCTCCTGAAGTTTGTTCATAAAATTGGTTGTTGTAGGAGAAGTAGGTGGTTGTTAAGCAGTGCTCTATTAGCGGGATGAGGTCAGAGGGGACTTTGTGTGAGGCCTTTATTATGTTTAGTGTGTCTTTTATTGGTACTTGTGTGAAAAGGGATTCTACGTCGAAACTTACGAGCAGGTCTGTGGGATGTAGTCGGATCTTTTGGATCTTTTTTATAAAGTCCGTCGAGTTAGTGATGTATGATTCAGTTTTTCCAGTGAGGGGTTGTAGTGTTTGTGCTAGGAAGCGGGATAGGCTGTACGTCGGGGAGTGTATGGCGCTGACAATCGGTCTGAAGGGGATGTTTGGTTTGTGTACTTTTGGTAGTCTGTACAGTCTTGGTGGGAGAGAATTTGCAGGTTTTAATGTCGATTTGGTTTTACTGGGAATGTTGCTTTCCTCCACTAGGGTCTTGGTTTTTTGTGCGATTGTATTAGTCGGATCTTTATCAAGCTTTTTGTATGCTTTGTCCGAGAGAAGGTTCTTCATCTTTTTCTTGTAGTCTGATGTATTTATGACTACTGTCGTGTTGCCTTTGTCGGCTGGGAGCACGATGATGTCTGTGTCCCTGTTCAGGTCTTGGAGGGCCAATCGCTCTTGTCTAGTGATGTTTGGTGGAGGAGGTTTGGCTTTGGAGAGGATATTGGATCCCTTTCAGACCGATTGTCAGCGCCATACACTCCCCGACG